TCCCAATCGGCCCTGCTCTGAGCCTGACCAGGGGCTGCACCTAGGGATTGGGCCTGCACTCTGCCACCAGGGAGCAGGCCTAAGCCAGCAGGTCGTTATCTCCCAAGGGGTCCCAGACTGCGAGAGGGCACAGGCCTGGCTGAGGGACCCCCCTTTCCCCCGAGTGCACAAATTTTTGTGCGCCGGGCCTCTAGAATATATATAAAAGAATTTATCACCAACAAAACAATGTAAATGAAACTTTATTGTAACAAGGCCACATTTATTTGTTTAAGTATTATATGTGGCTGCTTTCTTGAGGCAACAGCAGAGATGAATACTTACAACAGAGACCATAAGGACTGCAAAGGCTCAAATGCTTACTTTATGACCCTTTATGGAAATGTTGCAGATCCTGATTTTTTTCTTCCAGGACTCTTACCCCACCTTACTTATACCCCCTTATTCCTAATAAAACTTTAAAATTTCCTCTTGATGCTTCCAAATGGCAACTCCAACTATACTATAATCAAAAGTACCCACATCCTAATTTTCTTCCGTTACAAACACACAGTCTTGGTTTGTGGTGAATTCGAAAATGGAAGGAACTGACAGACCCCAGAACTCTTGGAAGCTGGGTGTGGTGAGATGGGAGAGGTCTGGAAGGCTAAGCTATATTGCGTGCTATGGATTTTAGAGCTTTAGCATCTAGAATATCTAAGTCATAGCTTCATCTGGGTAAGCCCTCTGAGGTCAGCTCTGACCTCTTATCTGTTTCCAAAACAGATTCTTGAGCCTAATATAAACTAAATATAATAGAATCTCAAGAACAGCCTGCCTTCATCCCAAGCCAATTATAGCTGCCTAGAAAAAGCCAAATTATTTCAGAGGCCTGTTGCTGCTCATTTCTAAGCTCTGTACTGAATTTCTTTGTTTATTTTATTTTATTTTTTAAATAAATCTTTATTGTTCAGATTATTACATTTGTTCCTCTTCCCCCCCCATAACTCCCCTCCACCCGGTTCCCACCCCACCCTCTGCCCTTACCCCCCCACTTCCTCGTCCATAGGTGCACGATTGTTGTCCATTCTCTTCCCACATCCCCCTCACCCCTTTTCCACCCAAGAATAGTCAGCCCACTCCCTTTCTATGCCCCTGATCCTATTATTAATCACCAGTTCA